GCATTTCAAAAATGTCACCTTTTAAACGATGTACTCTATTATTGATGGCATTCGTTAATTTTCAGGTTAAAATTGATTGAACAGCAAATAAAAGCAATCATCGTAAAAATTAATAGTAACAAAACAATAATGACATAAAATAACAAAAATGGACACATAAAATTAGCTGTTGGCAAGTTCAAGATGATACTTAAAACTATTTCGGGCAAAAACCTATAGATGGTCCTCTTCAAATTCTTCGACGGCTGGTAATATATTTTTACATGTTCCGCCACTACAATTACGACATATAGCCGAACAACAGAGCCCTTTTTTAAAACATTTACAGTTTGTGCCGCAACCAGACTTACAGTTACAGGAGGTCATCTATATAACATCATCAGGCGCAAAATTTAATGTAGAATGAATAGGTAATGGAAATTTTCTTTCATCGCTTCCCTCTTCTTCCCTCCATCCCCACTCTCTCGGGTCAAGAGAACTATTTCCAAGTCAAACTTGAATTTGATAGTAAACTCTAAAGCTATGCTGTTTCGCCGCTAATGATGTTGGTGGAAGAGTTACCATCTCAATTTTAGATTTTAAGGACATTTTAGCAACTTTCCTTGAATACATTATGAAGCGGCACTCATCTAAAATTTGAGTTAAGTTGGCTCCCCCATAAAAATGAATTAAATATTTTTCGCCTACTGTGCCTATTATTTCCTTATCAACATTCGACTCATTAAAAATTAGAACATCTTTTTGTAAAGAAGAATCATTAACTGGGAGGTTGTATGATTTTATTTTACTTGTCCTAAAAAGAACGGAGGTGAAGGTGGTGTCGCATCCTGTCATTGCATAAGCGAAAAGAAGTAAAGAACTAGTTAGCTTAAAATCGTCGACTAGTTTCACGATATTATACAGAGTACCAGGATTTTTTGAAGTTCCAGGAATTTTGAAAAATATTTTCAGTTTCCTTCTCTTGACTAATGTTAACATGACAACCATAAGATCAGTGTCCGTCCCTACCATAACAACTGTTTCTCCTCTCTTAGCTTCCAAAATGGCAGACGAGACAATATCTTGATCTGCATCGGCCTCTGCAATAAACACCTCGACACCAACTTTTCTCTACTCCTCACTGACAGCTGCAATGAGCTTTTTCTTATTTTGTGAATTTGAGAGAAATTCAGCCTGCGTTTTCGTACCTACATTGCATTGCTAAAGTGAAATTTATTGTGGCTGATGTTTTTTTTTTTTTCTTTTTGCTCTTCTTAATTTTTCTTGACCTTTTGTGGTTGAATAAGCAGGATAACCGTCGAAAACAAAAGATGAATGCTTAGTGTATCGCTTAAGAGCACAGGATACGTACATATTGACAATATCTCGGTAAGTAGCAAGTTTTGGCCATCTTTTCGGCATTTTCTCACACACTCTTGCAGCATAAAGAGAGAATGAACCCTTTTACCGCGGTCATTTTCAATACGCGCCTCATACACGGAGAAAAAAATTTCGTGCGTGCGACCCAAAGTTTAGGTCATATGGATCTCTGAAGTTTTCGGAATGAGCATCTGAACACTTAAGATCTAGCTGCCGAAGTTCAGGTCTGACATCTGAAACTTCAGTTCTTACATCTGAAGTACTTCAGATGTGAGTACCGAAGTTTTTCGGATGTGAAAACCGAGGTACTTCAGATGTAAGAACTGAAGTTTCAGATGTCAGACCTGAACTTCGGCAGCTAGACCTTAAGTGTTCAGATGCTCAATCCGAAAACTTCAGAGATCCATATGACCTAAACTTCGGGTCCCACGCACGAGATTTTTTTCTCCGTGTACAATACAGCCTACGACTCTTGGAGCCATCCTGGTTCCTACCCTCAGATTCGGAACTTGACCGCTAGTCGGCACTTTGTCTACAGGATATTTCCATTCATTTTTCCTAGGAAGCGTGGTGAAAGCGGCATGCTGAACAAAATGCTCGGCACCGTCTTTTCATCGAGAGGCCGTGTTTTTAAGGATGCTTCGGCCACCATCTTAGTTCATAGTCAAATGAAGCGACGCAATACTGCCATGCCAAGAAAGAACGCCGTATGAACATTCGGACGTTGCCCAATTTCCTCTGATATATTAAGAATTTTCCGGCAAACTTGTGAGCAATTTTCTTGCAAATTTTCAGGGAATCGAATACGCAGTTTTGTTTACGGTGTCTGATAGGGTACCTATTGAAAAAATATTCATAATTTTACGTAGGTATATAGAAAAATATCGTATAAGAGAAAATTCGGCAACATTCGAACTTTCATGAGGCTTTCTTCCTAAGTACGGCAAAATATTTGCCACAAGTCACAGTATATGCTCAGATCAAATATAACGATGTCGATTGAAGTCAACTTAGTATGTGACCATCAAGACGATCGCCAGCCCCTCTAGTCGCCAGGCGTACCGCTCAGCGCTGGGTGCGGCACGGCGCCGCGCGGCATCGCACTGCGTCATGTTTCGGCTCCTCTCCCACCCCACTCATTGTCCGAATCCTTACTTCAAGAGGACCAATTGAAAGGGAATTGTGTTCCCTACAAAGTTTCTAATAAATAAAAAGTTCATAGTTGCAGTTAGAAAAAAGTTATCACGCTCTTTGTGAAAAAGAGGCAATTCAAATTCTAAAAATTTGCGAATTTTTTAAAAATTTTCAGCTTTCCGCGGAAAAATTTGCATGATTATTAAAAAGTTCTTAAAGAGCATATCAAGACGGACATTTTAAAAAAAATTAGAGGTGTCTAGCTACATTAGGGTCTGAGTTATAGCGCTTTGAATCAGAGGGGGATTTTTCAACTTTGAGGGGGGCTAGCAAAAATCCCTAGGGGGGTAGGGATGGGGACTTTTGGGAAAATGATCCTCTCAATGGGTACTATCAATGGGGGGAAAAATTAGCTTGTTACTAATTTGTTCATGAAACCCCCTCTTTTTTCCCTTCGTTTACTGGACTACTCGTTGGACGCCGAACTCCTTCCATCTTCTTCGCACCCGTTGCGCGTACCAGAACATACGTACAATTTATCAGCTGTCTTTCAGCGCGAAACGCGGAAATCGCTCCATCTCGCTCGCACTCTCTCTCGCACCCGTTGTCCTTACGGAAAAATCGACCCACGCGGACCACGATATCCCGCGAACCGGCGGGTGGATCGCGAAATCCTCCCTTATCCGGCGCCTCGCGGTAGAGAGGGATCCCAGTGCGGAATCTCAGGGTCATACGGCCTCCCGTTCACGAGATCCGCTGATACGTGAGTGAGTCAGTCAGTCAGTGAGTGAGTCAATCAACGTGAAGTCTGCTTTATTAGTATAGATGCCATTAAAATTTACTACACATTCAATGATAATTTGATCAGAATTTTGTATCAGAAGATTCGACACTGTCACCATCAAAATCCAAATAAAATGTGCTGCAAAAAGACCTTACGAACTGTTGTCTCGGTCATATTTTCTAATGCTGTACAAACTGCTTTCATTATTGATATGGGTCTTTGCACGGTATCCAAAATAGTCTGTTCCTGTTACAGCTAGTGATTAAAAGTAGAGGTAGGTATAGAGTCACCACTCCTTGTGTGCGAGTCCTAATTCCTGTCGATAATGTGCATACAACTATTGTGGCTCGTGCGTATCCGCATTTGCCTATCTTATCAATTGAAGGAACGCTAATCTCTCTGCCTTCTGAGCAACCAGAAGCGCTCGGTCATCTATGCGATCTACTGAACTTTACTTTAAAATATACGGGATTTAACGTAACACTTGCTACGTCATTTTACTAAGAAAAGTCATGTTGGCATCTTCTCAATAATAATAATAATAATAATAATCGACGTGTCAATCCCAGCGGATAGGAACATATCATTGAAGGAAGCCGAAAAAAGACTCAAGTATAAAAGACTTAGAAATCGAGATAAGTAGAATGTGGAAAACGGACACGAAAGTCATACCCTTCGTAATCGGCGCGACGGGAGCAGTCTCGAAAGAATGGAAGAAATTTAAGGAAGAAATCCCTGGGAAGCACTCTCTTGTCACAGCTCAGAAAGCAGCGATCCTCGGAACTGCTAGGATACTGAGGAAAGTCTTAAGTTGAAAACCTTAACCAAAGAATCCATACTCATTTGTTCCCCCACAACCTAAACCCCTACCCCACCATCATCGACGAGAAGCAACCTCTGGATGGGCGTCTTAAGACACAGTTCTCACCCCGGTTACTGCAAACCTTATCGTCGGCTGTAAATTGGCCATTCATAGCCAAGTTAACACCGGCCTCAACCCACTCTACTCTCTCTACCAATGAGCATTGTTTGCTCACGTGAAGAGAGCCCAACTACCCAGCAAAGCTGGAGATAACTTCACATATAAATAATAATAATAATAATAATAAAAAACTTTAGCACCAAAAGCTAGATTGTTTTTGAACGGTAAAAAGCTCTAAAAAAATCTTCTAGAGGACATAATTTCGAAATTATAATTAAATCCATTCCAAAATAATCGAAACGTAGGTATTTAAAGTAAAAAACAGGGAAGAAAAAACACTATGAAATTAACGCCTGGCTTTTGAATGGATCAATATAACCTATATGCTTTAAGAATCAAACAATGAAATATCCTCGTATTGAAAATGTAATTAAAATTAATGACACAGAGTAAACAATCTCGCAATTGCGATGAAACAGAGAACCGAGATTTTCAAAATTATGGCTTCCTTCCTTAGAGATTCTTCTTTCCGTGATAGAAATATTGGTGTCGTTTCAAAAATTCATTACATAAGCTCGATCGATAGCTTTACGTAACGTTCAGTTGGATGGGAGTGAAACGTGGTCTCTCATGAATACGAATTCGGTCAGAGATTATTTTTCTCCGTTAAAATCGAAAAGAGAGCGGAACCCTGACCTAAAATACAGTTCTTTTAGGTAGAGAATGCCGAAAATAATATACCTAGAGGTTCTCACGAGGATTTATTCTCATCTAGTACTTGTTAAAATTCTGCGTGGAGGTGGCCGTTAACCTGACGATCGCAAAATACTCAACTTAAATTTATTATGTTAACCACGGCTGCCCCAGTTCAAATTTGGATCGATGTAGCTCACAATCAGTGTGGTGCGATTTAAAATAAACCATTTCGATTACTAAAGTGCAAAACCACGCATCTTCGTTTGCGACGCTGCAGACTTCCTGTCACGCTTTATATTTTATTTAGAAAAATGGCCAACTAAATTTCTTGAAAACTTCCTTGATTTTTCCTCTCTATTAGGGGAATATTCTGTGTAAAAATCCGTACTTAACGTTGACTTGTTTCTCTTCGAAATAATATGAGATGAGCAGCAGAGATTTTGAAACACCGCAGTAGAGATACGTGATTTCGCATTTTAGCGAACGATTTTTTTTTTCATTACCTAATATATTCTTACAAAGTTTAGCCTGCGGTAGTTATGCTGATTAAAAATTTTACTGGGTTGCTTAATACCTATAACTTCGTTCTACCATGAAACATTTCTTGATCAGTTAACTCAAGTGATAGTTCAAATTGCCACTGCATCAAGTTGACGGTCCTTTCCTATGTGTTCTGCTCCTACCACAGATGTCTCTTACTCAAAATATCCTCCTGGGAATTGAACTACTCGCAGCGGCTTTTTTAATCTGTGTGGATGCAATCATAGTGCACTCATCTCTCAATGAAACGGAAATATCTCAGTTAGAAAAATACAACATCATACCTAATTACATGTCCATGCCACCGGATGCTAGGCTTGAGGTAATGGGGATTTCCTTCTTTATTTTTTTTTAAACGGTGTGAATTAATTACAATTGTAGACCCTGCCCCCTCGTTATACGCACATCACTTAACTTTCTAAAAAAAGCACCAAACCCTGCTTGACCTTTTTCCCTTCTTATCGGCGTAGCTAGATCATTTTTCGTGGATCATAATCCCTAACCCTAACCTTGCACACGGAGGAGGGATATGAGGGACATGAAAATTCACCCTAAAGGGGTGTGAGAAGCCCTCCCAGAAAATCTTGAAAGATTGACTACATTTTAGGTGCAACTTGAGGCTACTCCAACGCTATTTCTCATTTAAAATTTTGTTAATTTTATGATTCATTAGAGTGTTCTTTTCTTTCCTTTTCATCTTGCAATGCGTGAAAAGGGAATGTAAGGTTATATTTAATGTCAAAAGTTTTTTTTTTTTTTTTTGGGGGGGGGGTGGATATAACTTTTTTTTAAAATCTTTGGAGGGGGGCCTCTTGGCCCTGTAATTGCTACCGTCCATACCCTCTCACGAAAAAAATCGGAGTTTTTGCCAACATTTTTATCAAAACTATCGAACATTTTTCGAATCATTAATACTTTACATATAATTTTCATGCCGAGTTAAAACCCCTCCACCTCTTCTTTTCACCCCTTTTCTTATGCATGCTGGATCAGATGCCTTCTGATCCACAGGGACGCATTTTATAAACTATCCCCAGAGTCAACATTGAAGATCTCTAATGTATCCGTACCCCGTACTTTGGGAATTTATATGAGGCATTTCCTACGGGATTACACTTTTTTTGGACCAGCGGTGTGATGGACCTTTATCAATCTACTATGTGCATTTTCCTCCTTTAATGGTGCTAACCAATTTGGCGAAACAAGTCGAGGCAAGATGAATGACTAACACTTTTCTATACATTCAACTATTTTCTAGGTAACGTATCCGGGGACTTATCGGAACAAAGCATCAGTGCGTTTCGGGAATTTAATAAAGGAACAGCGAATGAAGGACATTCCGACACTGAACTGGGCAGCAGAGCCGGAGAACGAATATTTCACGTTGATCATGATCAGTAAGTAGGTACCGTGTATACATATCGACGGTGAAACTACCAAACCGCGTATCTCGGTTTGCGACGTCGCAGACTTCCTGTCATACATTATTTTTTAAATGAAAAACTACTTAACGTCTAGTCTTGAAAATTTCTGTGATTTTTCCTCTTTGTGCGGAGAAAATTCTGTGAAAATTTCAAGGAATGATATTGATTTGGTCGACTTCAAAAAAATAAAATGCGAGCGTAGATTTTTAAACACCGCAAACGAGATACGTGGTTTGGTAGTTTCACCGTCGATATCTTGAAACATTCATTCAGTGGCGATTTTTAAAAGTTGGCAACACTGTTTTCTCTTTTTAAATCAATTAAAAATATCTAATTTAGGTGAGGCGAGCTGTCTCACCTAGAATTGATTGTTTTACATACATTTAAACGGAGGAAAAACAGTGTTGCCAACTTCCAAGAATCGCCACTGCATTTATTGACATTTTCAAGAGTGGTCTTAAGAGTTATGAATAGTATGAAATATGAAAGTTTTTTATTCTTGTTTCTTATATACTGTTTCCAAGAAAGCTGCAAACTTTTAAATGATCATAATATAGCTCCTTGTATATAAATTTGCTTATATTATTAATTTATCTTGAAAATTGCCAGAGCTTAATAAGAAAAAAGAGCGAGAAAAACAATTTTAGGAAAAAATCAAGAGGCTGAGAGAATTCGTCGTTTCCCTAGAATGTAACTACATTTCATTGTTGCAGATTTTTCCGCGAAAATTGCATTTATACCAGGAGAGTTTTGAGAATTTCTAATCTAATATTTCACTAATTTTTCCTCTGCTCTCATCCAAAAATAAAAATAAAAATAAGAATTCGATGAAAATTATACAGGTTAACTTTCTTAAAACTTGATTTCTTTGAGTCAATTGTGCAACCTTGGAATGAGGTTAAGTTGCTTGGTGCGGGAAACGGTGAATTGAAGAGCCTATATCACATCAGTTTTTTGCCAGATCTAATTCTGTTCCAAAGGGTATTTAAATGAATCCAGAGTAAATTGCTCCATATACAGGGGACACTTCGATATATTTATTCAATTTAAACCAGTTTTATTTAAAAACATCGTAATTACTACAAGAAATATGTGAGTCGTATTCCTCTACGTCAATTAAGTGTATAAAGGTATTAAAGGACGAAGTAGCATTGGATAATCCAGCAGATTATTTAAAACAACAGGAATTTTGCAATTTTAACTTCCGTTATAAGAAACCTTGATATATAACACTAATTATGACATTCACTTGGGTTATTTTAAAAAAAAAAAATTGTTCCGTCACGAGATAAACTTATGACTCAAGGGTGTATAATTTAATTTTAAATAAAAAAATGCAATGGGTAGATTACAATAAAGTGGATTGGTTAAATTTTTTCGACAGTACTTCTGCCTTTATTTTTGGGCTAATTATAACTTCAAAATTTAATCATAAACGCTATAGACACAGATTCACCTCCTGTCAATCCGATTTTTGAGGAAACCCCAAGTGAATCGGACAATGAGTGATACATCTAAGTTATATCGATACTATTCGATACACGAAACTTTTTACCCTGGACTCTTTTCAGCCTGAAAATTCAGATTAAAACTCGAAATTTAGGTGTAGACGAATACTGTAGTAGCCTCATCAGCTATCCTCTTGAATGGTCAAAGTTTATGTTATTCGCGTTAAACTAAGAATTTGGTTCAGTTTGAGATTTTTTTTCATGTATAATTATGATGGCGAAATTAAAGCTTTTCATTCCGAAATTTTCTACCAGATCCTGATCGGCCGAATAAAGAACCTTTGCCCGTGGAGTATTTGCAATGGCTGGTAGTGAATATCAAAGGCAACAACGTCTCTACTGGACAGCCAATATTTAAGTATGAGCCCCCTAAATCCATCGAGAAGTTTCCTAGTAAGTTAAAGCTAAAAATTTCTTTCAACTGCCAGTTCTAAATACTCTTATTGAATCTCTTAAGACCGACTGCTAAAAGACGACTAATTTTAAAATCAAAGAAGGCATAAGAACGATCGCTTTCTTGAGAGCAGTATCCTCAGTTTGTCGTAATTTTCACTTGCATTCAATAAGAAGTATACTCTCCTCGCCTTCTGCTTTGCCCCACCCTTCCTCCCTCTCCACCCAATATTGGCAATTTTACTTTATTAATACCCTATCAAGTAAAATGAAGATTACCAGGATTTAATTATAAAATATCGCATTTTTGAAAGAGCAATACGGAATAGGATTTTAGATGCTAGTGAAGTCATGCGTATGATTGAGTAATTTTTTTAGCATCACCAGGCTCTTATAATCGTCCATTGAAAATTTTTGTTGACTCCGGCTTTCGCTCTGCGACAGTCCGTGTCAATTTTCTCTGCACTGCTAATAACTTCGATATTGACACCTCGACGAATCTATGCCATGATTTTACTCTTTTGCATTGGAGGTTTTTTTTCCTCTCATGCTTCATAATTTCTAGATCTTTCTTTCTTTCTCAGCTTATCATACTCATGTATTTCTTCTATACTTCCAAAGAGAGGGAATTTTGCACGTAGATAGGTCATACGCCGCGTCAGGAAAAAAGTAAGTACCACCATCATTAAACATCTTCGATAATTAAATTTTATCTTAAAATTATCTTCATTCAAAGATGTCAGTAATTTTTATAAAATAGTTTTACTTAGGTAATTTTTTACTTATTTGATAAAAAAAAAACCACGCAAAACACGCGCGAAATCAATGAAAACAATGAGGGAGAAAATTGTAGACTAAAATTGGACTAAATTTTGCAATTAGGAACTACAACATTCGACATTTTTGTAAACGACTATTTTCTATGACCAGATATAACTTTGTGATCCAAAATGATATGGTAGCAAATTTTTTTCGGTGTATAATGAACAGAGTCGATTTTAGTTCGGTTTGGTTAGGTTAAGCAACTAAACTAACTCCACGGCAATGCGTAGGGTATCACCAAAATTGAAGGCGCGTTCGATTGAAAATCGCGCTTATGAATTCTCACGGCGGCGGCGCGGTTGAAAATTATCTCGTGTTTCTGAAACTTTTCTCAATCCTGGAATAGTGTTGACAATTAGGTAACAGTTTGCATGTAGGAACCACTCTTCCCCACTTATTTTCAAAACCCATACATTTAAACGATTCAACATTTGAAAGTGTTTGTTAAGAGGGAAGGCTTTGATTTTGAGTCAATCGATGTATTGACAGTTAAAAGATGCTCTGACACGTGCTGTAATATTTTTCTTGTTTCTTCGCAGAAAAGAGCAAATTAGGGTCGCTTTTAGGGTCAATAAATTTGTTATCCAGCATAATTTGCGTGAGCCGTATGCAGTTAATTTCTGTCGAGTGAAGAACCCTAAAAATAAAGGAGACTTCATTCTCGGATTTTGAAAAAGAAAAAAAAATACGAGGTTCCTCAAAAGCTGTGCTGCTCTCCAAACATCAAAGGTATTCCTTTACTGCACTACATTTAAAATGATCTCTCCTAGGTATTATATCGATTTTTATTCTCTTCTCAGCAAGGACTGTCTTTGAAATAAAAAATGTTTAATACACCTCAAAATCTTGTTCTTGTCGAGTTTATTAGATCGGAGAGAGTAAACTCGATTAGTTCAATGAGGAACTTCTCACGACTGACCTTTGCTAAAAATTAGGATGTATTTGGATAAAAAAAATTGCAACTGCTGCGAGAAAGAAGGTAGTCAGTGGAGCGGTTATATGAACTGCACACTATGATATATGTATTATTGAATTGAACATGGTATTGATCACCAAAGTTACGGTCTACATGACCAAACATTTTTCTAAATGTGTATAGTTAGCCATGTTCGGTAAAAAAAAAACTGAGTGTTTGAGTGAAATTCTTAAGTTCCTGAAAAGCTGGATTTCAGTATTAGAACCCTTGCGAAAAGTTTTAGACGTCAATACTCATCAATATATGTGTGTTTTTCTTATTTTTCACAGTTCTCGGGAAACATTTCACTCTCTCTCTCTACTTTGCTCATCACTCAGGAGAATCAATTGATACCATTTTCATCAGAATATTGATGGCTGAAGTTGAAAAATGCGTATTTCAGACTGCAAAGATGTCCGTCTCCGCACTAATGTTTCATTTTTCACAGGATAGTTAACCAATAGTTCCTATGAAAATATTCCCTGAATTTTCTACCCTCATTCTTAAAAAATCGCATCTAATGGAGAGGAAAAATGTACCTTAATTTTCCTTAAAGAAAATAAAAAAACCGGAGATTTTCTTACGTTGCATTTGAGATACAAGTTATTCGCACGTTTTTATCGATTTATGAAGTCCAGTCCAATACAACTTTGGGAAAGTACAGTGCTACTTTGATTGTTTGGCGAACAAAAGACATAAGAATCTTTATTAATACAACAATTTTTGATAGAAATAAATTCCTCTCTTAATTTTTAAGGAAAACAAATCAAAATCATTCCTTGAAGTTTTCACAGAGTTTTCTCCGCTTGAGGAGAAAACCCACGGAAGTTTTCAAGAATAGACAATGAGTGGTATTCTATTTAAAAGTGAAGTATGATACGAAGTCTGCAACGTTGTACACCGAGATACGTGGTCTGGTAGTTCCGCCGTCGATTTGTTATTTGACATAATTCCGCTGCTACTATGACGTACGGACGTATGTCCACTTCCGAATGAGCCCCGTAAAGCATGGATTTATACGAACAGCAGGGCTCACGTGGAAACTGAGATACGCTCCTACGTCAGGCGACGATTTACGAGCAACGGGTTCGCCACACCTTCCATAAAATCCGCGCCGCGGGGGCACGCGATGACGTCAAAAGGACGGTTGGGATAATAGCCACCGTCTTTTCCTCTGTTCCTTTATGGATTTTCCTTTCGTTGTCTCTTCTGCATGCAATGGCAGTGCCCGCCTTCATTGAGTAGGGCCGAACCGTCAGCCACCAGCACATGCGCTTATGGCATATCATCAGACGCTTTAGGACTTTCTCTGCGACTCGGAATAGTCTAAAACTTCGCGAAATCAAATCAAAAAGTATTGGAAAAACCCCGAAAAATCTTTTGCCCCTGGAGCCAGCTATTGGTTCTGGGATGAGTCCAAGAAATGTTCTCATGTGTCATACTCCACGAGGAAGTAGGTAAGCCTGCATGAAGTCCCAAACGACTCGAAACTGAGCTATTGATACCAGTGGCGAAAAGTGAATGATCTATTCCCGATATATCCCCATTTGAAACTATGGTAAAGAATCGTATTAAAGTGTTTGTTGCGAACACCCTGTTTATCGATCCTTTCTCGTGGGCTTAAACGGCAGGTCAATCGGTGTATCGCAAAGTACGCCACGCCACTGATCGAAACTAAAACACAGGAGAGAATTTTGAAGATTTTTGGACAGGAAACGCCCTAAAATTTTACGAGAACCGGAATGACAGTGCTTTGTAGTTTGTAGTTCAAAAATGTACTTTCGAGAAAAAGCTACTTAAACTGCTAGCTACTGTGTTTGGGGCGCAAACTGGGCGCAACTCATATGATTCCTTGCCTTTCACCGGCGCAAAAATTGACTGGTAAATAATTTTCCAGGACACCAGAGAGAGTCTCCCGTCGAGGTCTGGAAATCCGATTTTTCGACACCTTTCGACGAAAATCGCTCTCCTGGAAATTTAGCCTCCGTGGGCCGAAGTCCTGCTTTTTTCCCTATGAGATCGCACGCGCTAGAAAATCAACTTTGCATCTTCAACAAAGCTAGGCGACGAAAAATTGGACCACGTTTAGCAGAAAGGAACCAACAACTATTGCCAAATTCAATTGGACATTTTAATTTTTTATAAGGGAATGTTTGTGCGGATTCCTATAGAAATATTAAGGAATTTGCTTTGTACTGTGTAAAAAATTCACTGAAAAATGCACAAAAATCCGCACGATCGTTTTCATGTAAAAATAAATTGGCTAATTCAATTTGACAATAGCAGATGTGTCTAGGTTTCTTTCTGTTTTTCCATGTTTAATTCAGCACCCCCACCAGTTTTGTGCAATGAAAATTACGCTCACGCAACAGACAAATTTAACGGAAGCAGTAGGTTGCAGAAGTGCATGGTGAAGCCGATGCATAGCGGCAACTTGACTACATTTAGGAACTACAATTAGGAACTACGATCTCTGGCTCATCTGTGGAAACACTAATGTGCAAACAGGAACTAATGACACGTATACCTCTAACTGCTGAATGTCGTCCAATTAACGCGCTACGCAAGTCTTGCGCGCCTTATATTTTGGCAATGGACCAGTAGACAAGGTATAGGAATGTAAGAATTTTTATTCTCTTACGTAGTGAATATTTCAACTCGCGTAGACTTTTGTTTATTTATGGGTGAGATTAAAAATTTACGCGTCATTATAGCTTGCGGTTAGGAATTAATTTCAGTAATTTTCGTTGCGCGAATCTTGTTCTCGTGCTTAGGAGACCAGAGGCGAATCCAGCAATTTGGCAACATCGGATTTCCTCCATTTAAACCGATGCTAAATAATCGATTCTTGTAGGAGCACCTCAGTGGCGTAACGGACTTCCGCTGGGCCCCCCGCAAAATTTTTTCTAGGGGCCCCCATGTCGATATAATTCCAAAATTATCCCCCCCTCTCCCTCCCTCACCCCTTCCCGTTTTTTCTTTTATGGTCTAGGCCCGCAGCACGAAAATTTTTGAGAAAATCAGCCTTAACCACCAAAAAATCAAAATGGCAGTATAGCTTATATCTTTTTACCTTTAGGTAGGTATTGTATGTGAAGGATTTAGCCTACTTTTACATTATGTTCTGGGGTGGAATTTGATTCACTTGCATGTTTGCGCAAATAAATAAATTTAAAAAAAAAAATAAAAACGTAAAAGTACCCGATTAAATGGAGCTCCTAAAGGATCAAGGATCTAAAGGAAGTCGGAGGCTCAGCCCAGGCCCAAGAATCAAAGGGCCCCCAAAGCTTTTAGATTCTTGGGCCTCCCAAAATCCGAAATATGAAAAGAAACAAAAGAAGAGAAAATTATTTAGGAATCATTGAGTGGACATGGGAAGGCAGGGGCCCTCCAGCAAACAAAGTTAAGAACAGCCCAAGAAGAAGTATGAAAAACCCCGAGCTATAACAATAAAAATCAGAGGAAGAAGCCCCATCTCGGCAAGTAAAGGCCCAAAGTTTGAAACCACAGCTGAGCATCAAAGAGAGAGAGAGAAAAAATTCGGGCGGCCGAGGGCCCCCTAGGCGCCTGGGCCCCCCTGCATAGCTGCATAGCAGGGTCTGCGAGGGCGCCCGTTACGCCACTGGAGCTGGAGCACCTGACCCCTCCAATAATCGATACATTTCCATAGGTTTAAACAGAGAAAATACAATGTTTCCAATTTGCCGGATCCGCCAATGCAGGAGACAAGTACCACAATGCTTCCGTTCGCACCCTGTCTACTGGTTCTTTCCATTACCTGAACCGGAAACATTTTGTGTTCCACCCAATCCGAAGTTTGATCTTTGTAACCGCAATTTTACTCTCCATGTTGTACCGTGTCCGGGGATGGTGTCGCGGCGAGTGACGTCAGTCGGCAAACATGAGCGCCAAAGTGAGGAGGGTTGGTTCAAACTTCGAAAATTTATTTCCATCTATGATTTAAATCGTATCGGCAGAGCGGAAGTTTTCTTTCTCTGATAGGGGCCATTGACGACGGAACTTTCAAGGGAACTTCTTAAACGTCGTCTCTGACGTCAACCGTGAGGCGAAAAACGCTCCAGCTGGGTGGGGNTGGGGGGTGGGATGCTACCGGGGGGGAGGGGGTGGAGTGGGGGCAAGGTGCTTGAATTGATGAATTGCGACCCAATGGGGGCGCCACGTTCTGCGCAAGTACGCGATTAGGGCGTGTCTGCCTGAAATTGCGCTTTTGACTCCTCGCCTCGGCAGAAATAACCCGGTAAATTTCAGCGGCGTGTCGCGCTTCGCGGTGGATCGATTGTTCCGCCACTTAAACCTATAGAAAAGGGTCGATTATCGATGTGTTACCTTCATAATCGATTCTTCATAATAGTTTTAAGTGGAGAAATATCGATAATCGATTGTTTACGCTTCGCCTTTGGTAAATTTCAGCGTTTCGGAACGGAAGCGCCCTGGCGAATTGCGGATGGACGGTGCGGGGGGCAGCATGGAGTTTCTACTATTGATTTTCTCGGCTTCGCAGAGGCTCAAAGTACCCCGGGTGGATTTTTCGGACGGTTTTGAAGTTTTTTCCCCGTCCGATGAATCGAAACATTGCGCGATATGACCCCTTTTCTATTTTTTCACATAGTAAGTAAGTACAGTAACTTTAAAGCTGAGGAAAGGTACCCTAGCAGCAGAACAAATTTTTGTTTTTCTAAAAAAAGTATAAAAAAACATACCTATCTGTTATCTAAATGGTAGTTTTATATAAAAAACGTGTAGCGCTTTTATGAAAAAAAAAAAAAAAATCAAAGTTCAGACCTGACCATAATATATGAAAAATGATAAAAGCTAGATAAGGTAATTTTTTTTATTAACAATTTTTTTATTTTTTTATATAACGCATGCATACGAAAGTGTTAAGAGTGAACATTTTTATGTAACTATTTTATGAAAAAAGGTCATCATTTTCGTAAGCTTTTCGCGAATTAGAAGATTTTTTAGTATGTTTGCGAAAAGCTCACGAAAATTATGCCTTTTTTGCATATGATGGTTACATAAAAATGCTCACTTTCAACACTTTCGTGTGCATGCGTTATATAAAAAAAAATTAACTTTCTTACATAATCAGTCAGTTACATAATCTATCTTCTTTATCTAATCTACAAGAATCAAGCATCAAAACATGATTTTGTGACAAGCGCAACCGGCCCATTCAAATAGGAGATGATGGCTGCAGGAGTGCAGGGGGATTAGTGGTTTCAGAGGCTCCAAATCCTCTTATAGGAACTTTAAAACCGTAGAGTCTTCGCTAAATTAGTTCACGCATCTCTAACGGTTTACGCATGTTTCAGGAACAGCCTCCGATTACTGAAATAGGAACTCGGTTTTTTGTGTTTTCAGACGATTGAATATGGCGACATCGGCTTTTTGGGGAGGCTCTGAATACAAAAACTTTTGTACAGGAACGATTTGACCACCTACGTACATTTTTTGCCAAAAAAGTTCAATTCTGGTGTAAGACGAGTCACCCTTTTTAAACCATTTAAAATAATGATGAAAACAGGAAAATTCTAAAAAAGAAAAAAAATAACACTTTTAAACAATGAGCGCAACGTTTGATG